GCTGCGCGGCTCACCAAAATACCAAAATGTGCTTGGGAACGCCTTGTCAGCGCGGCGGATCTGATTGACTCTGCGCTTGCGGCACGTCTCCGGCGAGGCACCAAAATAGAGCCCAAATAGTTATTATTCTTACTGTTCTTCTAATCAATCATGTTTACATTTTTATCATCAACTGTCATGGTCAACCGGAAGCCCAACGTCACACTCCGGTTCTGCACGATAATGAGCCGACAGTTAAGAAACACAAACAAACACGGCACCCACGCACACGAGCCGACCGCGAACGGGTGCTCGATAACATGCGAGCCGAACTGCCGGTTACCTGACAATACACGGATGAAACAACTAGCCACTAGCTAGCTTCGGGCACGCTAGCCAACTACCTGAGAGCTGGTGCCGTATGGCATGCGAGTTCCTAAGAGTTTAACTTGCACCATATGTCACGGTCACTCATGTTTTTCTTTCTCATCAGTTCTCATGTCCGTGCTTACAATCTCTCCATCTGGCTTCTCACTCGATTGTACTGAGTGGGTCAGCCACGGAGAGCGCGTGCACACAGCGCCCTCTGCTGACGAGATGCCCCCACTGTATACACAGGAATTCAACCATGCAAACCATTACCAACAGGTAACAAAAAAATGTTTTCATCCTGTTCTTGTTTTTGTGCGTGTGTGTGAAGTGTATTATGTATATAAAACTAATAACGATAATAACCTTTGAAAAATGGAAAAATAGGGCGTGCACACATGTAAGGCGGAGCCCGCCGCATCTAACCAATCGCGAACATGGACCAGTCTGGAGCGTCAGAGCAGGCCGGAGAGCGAAAGACTGCATACTTAACAAACGAGGAGCCGGAAACGATCATGAGAAAGTATGAAGAATTCAAATCTATCATAAACCTCAAAAGCAACACCGTTGCCGCTGCAAAAGCACGGAAGGAATGCTTTCAACATGCGCTTTTAACATGCACCAGATATGTCTAATTAATTTCCGAGATGAAATCATTCATTTGTTCATTCGTATCGTGTTGTTGTTCACCCCCCCCCCCCAACACTCTGAACCCCCACCCCACCCCCCACCCCCGCCAACCTACCATACCTAAGGATTATATAAAAGTTTCTTTCTGCTCTTCCTTCTTGCAAAGTTGTCCACTAACTCATCAAAGTTGAACTGTCAAACTCTGATTCTATTGCAAGAAGGGAGAGTGAATTCAACCCATTTGGGCACATTTTCATCCTGAGCTCATTTTTTATTCGAGCCAGTCTGGAGAATGACCATTCCCCTTCAGAGTTTGTTATTGGCAGGGTCAAAAACAGTCTGAGTGCTATGTAAACATTTGGGAAAGCATTTTTGTTCTTCTGAAATGAATGATTTGTACTGAACAAGTTCATCTGCCAAGCTCGTCAGATCAGTGGGATATGCTGCAGCAAGAGATTCTGCCCTTAAAGTGAGCTCACTGTTGGACATATTATCAGGCATGAAAAGAACATGAAAAAGATTGGTCAAGTGTGTGTATGCAGTTAACCGATGGTTAAGACAGGACACAAGTTTGTCAATTAGAACATTGAACGTTTCAATCCAAAACTTTACTTTTCCACTAAATGCAACACCTGGCTCTGCACTTTCATCAGCCATACATTTGCGCTTCTTTGTGCGCTGGAGGTCATGTCTGTAGTCTTGGGAGACTGAATCGGTAACAGTTAAAGCTGAACCTTCAAAAAAGGCAAAATTGTCTCTCTGTGCTGCCACAAAGTCACGAAGTGAAAGCAGAAGCTGTCTAGCCGTGTGTATGTCAATGTTATGTTTCTTCAACTGCAGGGTCGTGGCTCGGAACCGCTGCAGTATTGTATCCCAAAAGTGTGCCATGAAAGCTATCTCTAGGGTGTCCAGCTTGCCACAGAGTGCAGAGGCCTCGCTTCTAGTTTCACATTTCTCCTGTGAGTCTTTGGAAATATTGTTCAATGCCTCTCTCAATTGTGTAATAATATATAACATATAATGCATAATAATGCATTCCTCAATTATTTGAACAAAGTAAAACTTATTCAAACCTTTCTAATACTTAAAAACTTTCTAATACTTGAGGATTTTTAATTATAAAAATTTTCCCTGTTTTAAATAGTTTTAGTATTCATGCATTATTCACCCCTTAAACAAAATCTCACTTCTTCTACTACAACTACTGCTAATATCAATTAAACTAGTACTTTGACTTATACTTCAACTACTATTGCTACTATTTCTACTTTCTCTACTGCTAGTTCTACCACTAGCTCTACTACTTCAACTTCTTCTATTCTCAAACTATTTCTACTGCTTACATGACTACTAATATCACTTCTATGACTACTTATCATACTACCACTAGAACAACAAATTAAACTTATGCCACTTCTCACCTTCGTGCCTTTTAAGGTAATTTACTTCTTCATTCAAACTTTGTGCAATTTCAGTCATTTTTCTGGCCTCTTTCAGCATGAATAATATTTCAATTTATGGAGCATATTCATACTGTTTGTCCTTCAACCATTTTCACAATTATTCAACTTATATTTCTTTTTCACTGCTTCAACAGCTTTTACATTAATATCTTTCTCCATGTTTTATTAGCAGTTTAGCATTGCTTTTTCAGCTTTCAGCACTCAGCATTTCCACGCATTTTCTGCAAGGAAATGCAATTTTTCTAGTTCCACTTAGACTTCCAGATTTGTTCACTGAAAATACAGTAGCCCTTACAATGGCTTTAAGTCTAGTTAAGGTACACTGTTATTACAATACAATTTAAACGTCAATGAGCTTTTTACAATGACAGTTTTGATGCACTCCAAGGACCATGTCATATTGTGTACACACAATACTATGCGGGAGCGAAATCACTTCATAGAAATCACTTCACTCTCATAGAAAATAGGTCCAGCTTCTACTAGCTGTCTACTGGGGCCAGCGTTAGGCCCAGGATATGCTTGCTGTGTGCACATTTCATGCCTGAAGGCGTTGCCATGCGTATTTTATGTCCACATTACGCGTGATAGCACACCTGAACACAAGGTATGCAGACATGTGCGCATGATGCAATATTGACACAACCACGAGGGGCGATCTTCCGAACTTCCGTGTTTAGCTCATGGTAGAGTCAAACAATGGTGGAAAATATTAATGAGAGCCCGGTTGGCTATCTGCCCCCTACATGAAACCGCCAGTATCCAATGTTGCCAATTTAGCGACTTTGTCGCTAGATTTACAACTTTTGGCCGTCTCTGGCGACTAAAACCTCATCTAGCAACTTAGCGGCTTTTTAGGTGAATCTGGTGACTCTAAAAAAACACATCTCTCGAGTATCAAAATCATTGTTTTTCAATGTAACTTCAGCTCTGCACCGCCACCAAAAGTTAATTTCATGGTTAAGCAGCACTGTGCATTAGCCCCGATCTCGAAACTGTACCCTTTGGGATTGTCAACATAGCCATGTAGACACATTTTCTTGAGCTCAGTGAGTCGTGTCTGATGTTATGACATCATAGTAATGTCATGACGTAATCTAGCGACTTTTCAGAGAACCAATAGCAACTTTTGGTGATTTGTTTTTGGCAACACTACCAGTATCGTGCATAGTGCTCTGATCGTTCTGCTGCAAGTATGTGCGGTTGCGCACGTAAATTAAGTCACACAGCTAGCGTATCCTGGGCCTTAGGGCTCACTGAAAGGACTTTCATTCAAAGCCCTTGGTAAATCAGAGGTTGTCGTAGCGCACTTCCCTCTGTCTTCTGGCTGCTTTAAGTGCATTTTCATGGTCCTCATAGTTCAGAAATTTAATAACGACTGGTCTGGGTGCTGAGGACCGGCTCAGGTTGATACGGCCGACCCGGTACGCCGGCTTGAGTACCGGGGTGGGAGTAAAAGTGTCGCCTAGTACCTTAAGAAGCCAATTTCCCAGAAAACTGCACATGTTAACAGGGCTCTCAAGTTTTGAACTAAGCTTAGAGTGAGATTTCCTTGGGGGGGGGGGGGGGGGGGGTGATTGAAGATATTAGTATAATTATCTCTTCAATACAACGGAGTATAAGGGGCACAATTAGAAAAAAAACGTTTTTGAATCTTAGAGAATAAAGTTATTTGGGAGAATAAAGTCATTAATATATAAGTATTAAGTCGTAAAGTTACCTGTTGTGAAGGAGAGTTGTTAAAATCAGCACTGTGAAGCATTTAGATGAATTGTATGAATTTAGTATAGGTTTCACAAACATGGAGATACTTAATCCTTTGGTACATGAGCATTACACTGTCATGAGGATCAGAACTTATGTTTGAGATATATGAGAAATGCTGCTTTTGTGGAGGGGAAAATGGCTGTACAGAGGCTAAATCCATCAATACAGCTGTTAATAGCAATAGCATAGGGCTTTAGTTTATCATATAAATTTATCTGCCGTGAGGTGTTGAGGTCTCTGCATGTGTAGGTTACTGACTTACTGTAATCATCGGGTCTTTCTCGTCCTTATAAAAACCTGCTCTATCTCGGCGAGTGTCTGTCTTCTTCTGTAGTCAAACCGCAAGATATCAAAATCTACCCGGATACAGCAATGCTGCTTTTTGATTGGCTGTTCAGTAGATATACTTTATTTGATTGGCTTGCGCGTGGCACGCAGCTTCTGAACTCTCGGAGGAACTCAGTTGATTCCTACCTGTTCCATAGTTAAAGAGGTGCAACTTGGTGGACATCACCATGTTCATTTAAATGCGTGAGAAATACAATGTGTGGCATGTGAGCGTGTGAACGGGTGGGAATGCGTGTGTCACACGCTGAATGCGTGAGACTTGAGAGCCCTGCGTTAAGGCCCTCAGCTTTCTCAGGGAGACCGCCCAGTCTCAGGTTGGGGCGCCTTGCCCTGTCTTCTTGCTCTTGAACTTTTATTCCGCCTATTTTTTAAACATAGTACGAGTTTTTAGCCTTCGAGTGTGGTCACACTAGCGAGCCGGCAATTGTAAAACTTTTAACGATGATGGCGGTGTGCCAGTCCTGCCTCCCCACCGTCTCTAAATTAAGGAAGAGCATCACAGGACTAAGGAAAGACCTTCAGGAAAAGATTAAGACTCTGATGGATTTTTCCAGCGTGGCTACAATGCAAACCAAAGTGATAGCTCACCTCGGGGCGTACGGCGCAGGAGACCGGAGCTTGGCGGGCACCACAAACAACACCACCCTCCCATGGACTGGCTCCGTCACTACCGGGACCCCGGCAGATGCTCGAGCCGACTTCCATTGGCATCTCCGGTGAGCCAGGCCCAAAGCATCGGCACCCTTCACCTCCTGCCACCGTTCCACAGACCCACGGCACTCCATCAAAGAGGACGCATCTGCAACTCCGGCGACATCAACGCCCATCAGGCCGAGGGAGCCCTGGTCAGTGGTGACCAGGGGCGCCGCGGCTCGCTCACCTCCTGCTCCTCCACCTCAGGACCTGGCGCTGGAGAACAGGTTTCAGATCCTGAGCCTGCATGACTTTCCTCCTATGGGTGCCTGGTCCCCTTCCATCGATCCAGCTGGACCTGGCGCCCACCAGCCCGGGGACCGGGCCCCGGTACCAGCCTGGCCTCTCTCCAAAGTCCCGGTCAGCTACGGCCGCGGCAACAACCAGGGCGTCCAGCTCCGGACCGACTGCGGCCGCTATCGGCGGGAAATCCGTGCGTGATTGGCAACCCATGGCCCCACATAAGCCGCAGGCCCTGTCCTGCTACCTCCGTGGAAGAGAAGTGGCCGCAACCATCAATAATACGATCCACACTGTCCTCTACTCGTCCTCTTTTATAGGTTAATTCTCCGAACTTTTATCAGTTATCCACACCACCTACAACAGGATTTTAATAACTGGTGATTTTAATTTACACATTGACAACACCTCAGACCCAGTGTTTCGAGAATCTTTAAATTGTTTAAAGTGCTTTGATTTCCAGCAGCATGTGACACAGCCAACCCACAGCAGGGGGCGCACGCTGGACCTGGTCATAAGCTATGGCCTGTCCGTCGGTTCGCCCTCTGTTGTGGATCTGGCTGTGTCTGACCATTTTTGTGTGTTTTTTTAAATCAGCAGTTTTACCAGAGGGGAAGCCCAGTCAGAATGGTGAGAAAACGCTACCTAACTTCTGAAGTGGCTGCAAATTTTATTCATATCCTACAGAACACTTCTCCACAAATTTTACCAGCACCCTGTGATTTTATCGCTGACAATTTTTACAGCAATCTAAGGTCAACACTGGACTCAGTTGCTCCACTTTTAACTAAAACAATAAAAAAAAAGCAAGACCCCCATGGAGAAACGAGCATATCAAGCAGCTCAAACGTAACTGCAGGAGTGTTGAAAGGAGATGGAGGAAATCTAAATGAACAGTCCACCTTGAAATTTTTAAACACTACCTCAAAACCTTCAATAGCACAGTCAAACAGGCAAGAACTTCCCACTACAAAAAAACAATCGCTGACATTAAACATAACTCCAGACTTCTTTTTACAACAATTGATCTTTTAACAAACAACAATTTTAACAGAACCCCTGGGTCATCCTCTGATACCCTCTGTGAGGATTTTGCAGACCACTTCAGAAGTAAAATTGACAACATCAGATTCAGGCTTTTATCTCAACAGATTTTAACTGCTAACATACCTGGATCACTGCTTTTACCCGAGAAAACACTGGAGAGTTTTGCACTGGTTGATATGCAGACACTTGGTCGAGTTTTCTCCCAAGTAAACCCCACAACCTGCCTTTTAGATCCAATTCCCACACGTTTTTTTTTTTAAACAGTTTTATGGATTCTTTGAGGAACAGCTTTTAAACATTGTAAATTGCTCTCTTCAGACAGGTGTCTTTCCCACCTCCTTCAAAACGGCGCAAGTGAGGCCTCTTCTGAAGAAGAGCAATCTGGACCCCAAGATTTTTAACAATTACCGACCTGTATCCAACTTACCATTTTTAAGTAAAATCTTGGAAAAACTTGTTCTTCAACAAGATAATCGCAAACTCACAGTCTTGGTCCTGCTGGATCTAATCGCTGCCTTCGATACAACAGACCATCACATTTTATTAAATCGACTTAAGCACCTGGTCAGCCTCTCAGGCACTATTTTTAAATGGTTCACCTCTTATCTCACTGATCGACACTTCTTAGTAAGTATGGATACATGTTCCTCACGAACCCATAAAATTATGTGTGGGGTTCCCCAGGGGTCAATTTTAGGTCCAACTCTTTTTAATCTTTACATGCTTCCCCTGGGAGACATCATCAGGAGGCACGGCATCAACTTCCACAGCTATGCTGATGATACACAACTGTTCATGGCCGTGTCTCCTGATGATAGCGGGCCAATTGATGCCCTTTTAAATTGCATTTTAGACATCAAGTCCTGGATGGCAGCCAACTTCCTGCAGCTCAACCAGGACAGAACAGAAGTTTTAGTTATTGGTCCTGAAGGCCTGAGAGAGACACTTTTACCAAAACTACAAGATTTTAAAGTATCAACATCTGTAAAAACCTGGGCGTGATTTTCGACTCTGAGCTCAGACATTTCAGCTATTACAGAATTCAGCTGCAAGAGTGCTGACGAGGGATTTAGTTTTTAGCTGTATTAATGGTCTTGGCCCCTCCTATTTATTTGATTTTCTTTTACCATATCAACCCTCGGGGACCCTTAGGTCCTCCGGCACAGGCCTTTTAACCTTACCCAAAGTCAAAACAAAAACACACAGGGAGGAAGCTTTCAGTTTTTATTGTCCCTGGTTGTGGAACAGCCTGCAGGAAAGCCTTAGGGCTGCAGAGACTGTTGATGTTTTTAAGAAGAGACTCAAGACTCACTTTTTTAACCAGGCTTTTTACTAATTGCCATTTTAGACCTCTCTTATTACAAATGTTCATTTTAATCAAAGTTCTTAATGTTTATTTTATGTCATTCTTTTAATTATCTCTATTCTTAGTCTTTTTCTTAATTTCCCGTCAAAGGTTTTTATTTCTTTTACCCCTTTTTTATATGGTATCTTTTACTTATTTGTTCATTTAATATTATTTTCTTGTTTTAGTCCATCAGGTTTTACTCTTTTCACCATTCTTATCTCTATTTTTATCTCCATTGTTTCCTAAAGCTAGCTCTTGCCTCATGTAATGTCTCGTTGTCAGGGCCATGTCTCTCTATCAATATATCTTAATTCTCACACTGTGTGCGGTTGTGTGTGGGTGAGTGAGAGTGGGTGTGTGCCTTTGTGTGTGTGTGGGTGGAAGGGTTGGGTTTTTGTCATTATTGTTGTTTATAGCCTCTGTGAGGCACTTTGAATTGCATTTTCTTTTGTATGAAAAGTGCCATATAAATAAAGTTGAATTTGAATTTGAACTTTATTGCACAGTGTATTTGTAGTTTCTCCCAGTTGTTTCACCCTTTGCTGGAGAGCGATGACATTGTCCCCTGTCTGTGATATTCACTCCTCCGTTTCCCCAATTTTCTTTGAATGGGACACCAGATCCCCCTTGATGCTGTTACTAGCCTCCAGCATGTCGGCTGGCTGCTTGCCGAAATTCTGCTTTAGTGGGCGTATTGCATTCAGTATCTCAGTATTTGAAGGTCCGCTAGCAATTAACCTTGCTGTCATGATTTCATGTTTCCTGCAGCATCTCCCTATGTAGCTGAAACTGATAAAAGGAAATCCCACCTGAGATAGATTTCTTGTCAGAAATTCTGTATCTCCTCAGAGAGCTTTGACAGAAAACTCACAATAGTGTCAACTCATATTAACAAGTTACTTGTGTGGACAAAAGATGATCTGGTGGAAAGCAGCTCATTATCTTTTGAGCTTTAAAATAATTATCTTATGGGAATTAGTGGCTATATTTTAATGCACAAAACATAAACTTGTGTGAATAAGTCATCAAGAGCCTCATGTGGACAGGTGTTGGGTCCTACTAAAAATAATGTGCATGTAATGGTTTGAATTTATAACAAATGTCTTCAGATTAATATTTGATCATTGACTTAAAATATGACATTGATGCATTTAGATATAGGGATACCACCCAATTTTAATAAAAGGGAAATAAAAGAATCAAAAGTTTAATTCAGAAATTAAACATAAAGTCAATCTTGAATCAATTTTTTAAATCAATTTCATATCTCATAAAAGGCAACAATCTGCATGCATTCTTTAAGTAGTTCCAATTAAGGAGTTTTTGAGTGAATCCTACAATTCTATAATAGTTCAACTTACTTGATTAGTTTATTACAACCAACATAATTAGTTTTGCGCTCTACAAGCTTAATTAAGTTGGACTAACTTAATTTTAAGTTAAAAGTATTGGTGATATTTAATTGTCCTCACAACTAATGGACAAGTGGTCTGAAGGGGATGCAACTCTTTTTTATAAAAGAATATTGAACAAACAACAACTCTAAGTACAAAAGAATACATTTTGTTAGAACACGTTGTAGGAAAATCATAAACACACTACATGCCCTAAATTTTCCTGAAAAAAAGGCATTTAGAGGCTGTGAGAGGCACATTTTCCAAAGCCAAAAAAAGTCAGAAAAACTTCATATGTTTACTTTATATATAAGGATTAAAAGAAATAAAAAATGAACATGAACACTTGATTAGTCCTGCCTTCAAGTTTTTGTTGAAAATGCTTCAGAAACTCGTGATGAAACTGATTTATGCTTGTTTTAAAGCTTTTCTGCATGAAACTGCAGTGTTTCAGTGTCGACATCATTCAGTAAGCTATCAGCAAGCCATCCTTGCAAATAATCACAGAGATGAACATTGTATTTTTCTATTTATAATTTATGCAATGCACGGGAAACATGCTGGAAAATATATCGTAGGATGACTCCCACTTCAAAACAACTCGTTTCTAGAGGATGGACTCACTGTGGCAGAGCGGCTGTGATGTGTTTCTATTATTTAGTCAAACCAACCTCTCGTTCGCTCTTGGTATTATCGCGAGAGTTGACACATACGCTAGCGCCGTCCACCTAACGTCGTTGTGACAGAGAGCAGAGCCTGGAGTTCCTCAGCGCTGATGGTGAATAGCCACTGCTGCGGTAACGGGCGGAGGAGAAGAAGCCGCAGAAGGAGTCAGCAGCGGCAGGGAGAGATAGTTCGGAGTTAGTCTCTTAGATTTAGCAGTATTAAGTGCATTGTCGGATCCTTACAAACATCAGAAGGGAAGGGAAGGAAGAAAATAAGGAAAGATGGCGGCCGCGGCCTCGCCGGGCTCCGGCTCGTCCACCTCCTCAGACTGGATTGTGCTGAGAGACGGTTGCCTGCGTTGTGACGAGGAGGGCCTGCGAAGCCTGTCCTACCACCCGGCCCTCAACGCTATCCTGGCAGTTACCAGCCGCGGGAGTATCAAAGTGATTGACGGCACTTCGGGAGCCATTCTCCAGGCTTCGGCGTTGCACGGTAAGCACCGGGGCCCTTTTAAGAGCCCTGATAGCGAGACTTAGAGATTGACAAACCAGCCGCTGATTGTCAACACACTCCAAACACGACACAGGAGGAGCTGTAACCTCTGCTGCTAACGTTAGCTGCTCCTAGCTGTTATTTTTGGGCCTTGTTAAATCATCTGGCAAAAATGCGTCTTTTAGTGAACAACAAACACACAACCTTCGGATCAAAATGATAGTGTGATGAAGTGTAAAGTTACGTTAGCGCTT